GGGGGGGAGTGGCACTCAGGAAAGAACAAGGGAAGAATCACATTTCTATCTTCCAAAGCAAAACAACTCCCAACAAAAGATTATGCCATAGACTACTGGTAAATTCCTATTTACTGACAGCCTGCTGATCCTGCTGGCAGGATGGTTCCAAAGTTTGTTGGAAGCCTAATCTACATCCTCGATCTACTAAGATGAGTTGTCCAGGGCACACCATGGTAAGGAGAGCCACACAGCCCCACCCTCTGGATAGTTGGCTGGCCCTTGGATGGGCAGCCTGGTGGCAGCTGTGTTATCATTGTGCAGGGGGTAAACCAGTTCATTTGAAAAACATGTATTAAGCTGCCGACTTTATACAAAAGCACTGCTAAGGATATCAAGATGTATAACTTAGTCTTCCTGTGAGTAGTTAGCAATTAACAAGGAAGACAGACACATAAGTAAAATAACAGTCCAGTGAGGTAAAGTGCTATAATCAAAGACTGTAAGATGTAAAAGCAGGCTTTATAGGGGAAGCATTTGCACTGTTAGAAGTCTCCAGGCAGGTAAGTAGGGAATGGTAGACTGGGCAGTCTAGGCAAAAGGAGCTACATAAGCTCGTAGACTTGAGGGAACACGACATTCAAGATTCCAGTTTGAACACAGGACAGGGTTCCAAAAGGGTAATGTACCTGGAGAAGTAAAGATCCAGGTCTGACAGGTCTCATATGCCAAGCTTTTAAGAATTTATCCTATGTACTCATGGTCAAATTTTAGTCAAAATCAAAGCCTGTTAAAAAATAATGACCAGTCACCCCCTCCTCTAAGATCCTGATTTGGTGGGACCCAGGTCTCTATGTTTGTTTTTTTTTTTTTTTAATTTTTTTTTTTTTCAACGTTTATTTTTTTTTGGGACAGAGAGAGACAGAGCATGAACGGGGAGGGAGAGAGACAGGGAGACACAGAATCGACAGGCTCCCAGGCCTGAGCCATCAACCCAGAGCTCATGACCTGGGCCCTAACTCACCGCAGATCGTGACCTGGCTGAAGTCGGACCTTTAACGATCACATGCGCCAGGCTCCACTACCCTGGTGTTTTAATAAGCTTTTGGTTCAACTGATGAAGCAACCAAGATTTAACACTATCAATCGTTGGAAAATAGGGACAATATTCTATTTTTTTTTCACAACGTTTTTATTTATTTTTTGGGACGAAGAGACAGAGCATGAACGGGAGTAAGAGAGAGAGGGAGCCAGCAGAATCGGAAAACAGGCTCAGGCTCTAGCCATCAGCCGAGCCTGGAGCGGGCTCGAACTCGACGCGCAGGATCGCGAGACGTAAGCATGAAGTCGGACGCTTAACCGACTGCGCCACCCAGGCGCCCCAATATTTTTAAAAAAATCTTTATAGCAGCAGTATGGAAAATGGATCCAAGTTGGGAGGTGACCAGGACACTAGCAAGGTGGCTATCATGGTAATTTAGGTGAGAGAGGGTGGGACCTGAACCAAGGCAGCTGCAACGAGGGCAAGTATTGGAAAATATTCAGGAAATAAGCAGGGGGGGCTTGGTGGCACTGATCTGAAGAGGATGTCCCCTGGGGACAGGGGAGTGAGAGAGTCCCAGGTTTCTGGCTTCTCTAAATTACTTTTCTAATTACAAAATCCACTGATTATCTAAAAAACTCAATCCCCTACTTCCTGGAACCTCACCTCCTCCTACAGGGAGGTGAGGCACTATTTCTTTACCCAGGGAAAGAGAACCTTAAATCTGCATCCTTACATGTTGCCCCCAAGTGGCCAAACGGAAGTCACTGCCCCTGGGTCTAAGCTTCAAAACTCTCCCAATGGCAGATACCCTTAAGATAGCCAAGACAGGCAAGGGTAAACTTTTCCAGAGTAATCTGCAATATAAAATTGAGAAGCCCAAACGCATGCGCGCGTACACACACACACACACACACACACGTGTAAATAACAAGAACACCGAAAGAGTCGAACGTATGCCAAGATTCTTTGCCTGCAGCTTAACAATAACCCTGCCAGGCTGCCCAACTCACCCGATAAAAGGGCTGACACCCTGTCTCTTTGCGTGTCTCCGCACCAGACCTGCCTCAGGCTTGCCTGTCTTCGAACATGGGACTGTCATTATTTGGCCGGGGAGGCCTCCAGCACAGCCTCGGGAAGACATTTTTACTTCTGTATTTATTTTTTGGCGAGAGGCCACTCGTGACGGGTTGGAAGAGGAGCAGTGAGATGAGATGCAGATTCCAGGACACTTGCACGTACTGTGCCCTCGATGTCCCAGCACAGCGACGCCCAAAGTCTCACCTCCGCCCGGGTTGGGGGCCATCAACCGCCTCTCTGAGCTCGCCCCCTGCATTCGGTGGCGAGACCCACCGGTTCAGCCGGCAAATGCTCCTGGGCGTCCACTAGGTGTAGGCCCAGCCACCAACCGGGCTCCGTTTCCTGGACAGTTACTGGGCGCGTGCGGCGGGCACGGCTCTCCGGCCTCTGCCGGCAGGTGCCCCCAAGTCTTCCCTGGGACGGGCGAGCGGCCCGGCAGCGACTCTTACCCCAAAGTGGCGTCCGCGTCCCCGCAGCCAGGCCTCAGCCTCAGTCCCTGCCCGAAAGACCTTCGGCGGAG